GGAATTACAGTGAGGATTCCCGGGATTTGGGTGGAAAAAGGGAAAAAATGGGAAAAAATAGCAAAAAATGGGAAAAAATGGGAAAAGATTAGTGAAAATGGGAGTTTGTCCACTTGGATTCCCGATGGTCGTGCCGGTGGTGTGGGAATTACAGTGAGGGATTCCCAAGAATTCCGGGAATTTTGTGTGGAAAAAAGGGCGAAAATGTGAGAAAAGAGGGAAAAAAAATGGGAAAAAATGGGAAAAATGGGAAATAAAAGGGGAAGAATGGGGGGAAAAGAGGGAAAAATGGGGGGAAATGTGGGAATGGAAGGGAAAAACCGGGATTGGGGCCCGGAAGGAGCCGGAATTCCCGGGAATTTTGGGATTGCAGTGACCTTTAAGAAGATGTACCAGCAGAAACAGAAAGAGCTGATGAAACAATTCGAGAAGCAGGAGAAGAAACTGCGAGACCTCAAAGCCGGGGGGAAATCCACCAAGCAGGCGGTGAGGGATTCCCGGGAGCCCCAAATCCCCGGGATCTGAGCCCAAAATCCCTGGGAATTCAACCCCAAATCCCCGGGATCTGAGCCCAAAATCCCTGGGAATTCAACCCCAAATCCCTGGGAATTCAACCGCAAAATCCCCAGAATTGGGACCCCAAAATCCCTGGGAATTGAGACTAAAAGCCCTGGAATTTTCAGCTCCAGATCCCAGGAATTTCATCCCCAAAATCCCGGGAATTTCAACCTCAAAATCCCTGGAATTTGAGCCCCAAAACCCCTGAAATTTCAATCCCAAACTCCTGGAATTCCAGCCCCAAAATCCCAGATTTTCAACCCCAAAACCCCTGGAATCTCAACCCCAAATCCCTGGAATTTCGATCCCAAATCCCAGGAATTTCAACCCCAAATCCCTGGAATTTCAACCCCAAAATCTCTGGAATTTCAACCCCAAAATCCCGGGAATTCCAGCCCCAAAACCCCTGGAATCTCAACCCCAAATCCCTGGAATTTCTACCTCAAAACCCCTGGAATTTTCAGCTCCAAATCCCTGGAATTTCAACCCCAAAATCCCGGGAATTCCAGCCCCAAAACCCCTGGAATCTCAACCCCAAAATCCCAGAAATTTCAACCCCAACCCTCCAGGAATTTCATCCCCGAATCCCTGGAATCTTGACCC